TATATATATATATATATATATATATATATATATATATATATATAACAGTTTTCATTTACTTCATCAACTTAACTGATAAAAAAAATGAGAAGTTGTCACTTTTGGGCCTCCACAGAAAAGCTGCTTTCCTCACTAAAATTCTAACTGTGTGGCATTGAATTACAAATAATGCATACTGCCTAACCAAAAAAAGAAGTTATAAAAAAAGAACATTGAAGAGATATGATTGGCTCAAAATCCTCTCCCACTGATATGACTTTGGTCTCTCTTTTTTCAGACAAGAGCAGACTGAAAGGCATCAGTGTTTGAGCGCTGGCTCTCATCCCAACACCTCAGAATCAGTTTATCGTAGCAAAGTGAATGTACTTCAAGCTGTTGCCCCCATGTGGTCTATATTAGAACAGCACTCTATATTCTTTGCCTGTCTCTCCCCCTTGAAAGGCACATGCATGAGCACGGTCCAACTTGATCTCCTCAACAGACGACTATCCTTTCTAGACCATAAGCACTTAGACGTATTGCTTTAGGTCCGCTGCCAGTATGTGCGTGTTGGTGCGTGTACTGAAGTGTCCGCGAGGTTTCCGTTGATGTGTAAAAAGCTTGAGAAGAAGAAATACTTTGGAAGAAATCAGTTGTGTGCAAATATCTTTCCATCGACTTAATTCAGAGCATATATATACGTACTGTACACTCATTGCTTAGTGCGTTTTCATATGCACATGTGTGTGTAGGTGAAGTGCCTGTCTTGTGGCGCTTATGCAACCAAAGTAAGCTGAGCGGCTTCACCATGTTGAAAGCAAAGACTGGTGAGATCCTGCCGAAGAGCAGATGTGTTACACATTTATGCAGAGGGTTATTTCAATGGCACAGAAGTACAACACAAAAACCTGCGCTTATAACTGTAATGAGAGGCTAAATTCCTCAATCAAATCCTATCAACAATGTGTTAAACCCCATTATTACTGTGCATGAGATTTTATATGAAAAAAATCACTTTATCCCTTAATTTGGGGTTTGTAAAATAATAAGGGTAATTTGTGTTATACAGACAGGTAATTTAAAAAAAAGAAGAATAGAGGAACAGAGGTCTGTTATGTAGAGTACATTTTAATTCCACTTCACTTTTGCAGCACATGTCAGCTTGTGAGAGGTCACTTGGCCTGCCTGGGGATGAGTCTCTGGTTTTAAGCGCAATGCTTACCACATGGCCACATGGCAGGAGCAGAAGGAGGTGTCTGAGTGCTGTCTGAGATTGTGTTAGAAGCCTCTCTGTGTCTGTGCCAAGAAGTCCAAAAATATCCCAGTTTGCTAATATGCTTGGATCTTCATCCTGTGTACCTCTGTCAGAGCACGTGTATGTGTACCTTAGTTTGCAAGTTTTTTTGTTTGCTCATGTGCTCGTATTTATCTGTACCTACGTCTGTGTATGGTGTTGACAAGGAAGAAAAATCCAGGAGAAAATTTGCACTGCACAGATTTTTAACATGTCAGTTTTTAATGTTACATATATAAATATAATTTTTTTTATTCATCTTTGCAAATAAGGAAATTCAATGACAATTTGAAAGTTTTTGGTCATCACAAACTCTTGCACAAACAGCACTTAGGTCTGCCCTGATGAGAGTAACCTAGTGGAAAGGTGTCCTTTAACATTCACTCAAGAAAAGTTTAGACGGTAAAGAAGTCTCAAAGAGTCCTACAGACAAGAGTTTCTTGCTGAATATGCTAAAATTAGGTCTGCATAAAGTCAAGGGTGAGCAATCCGCCACCTCTCTTTAAGCCCTAAAGAAAGGGCATACTCACAGTCTGACTCACAGCCAAGAGGAGAAATGCACCATGCTGCTCTCAAGTCTTTACTGGAAGCCAGTCCTTGCACAACAGGTAATCTCAATAACCCTCCAATCAACTCATGGGAAATGTGACATTAGGCTAAAATGCAGTATTTCTGGTTGTTATACCTGAAACTGAAGTTTGAGTGTAGAATCATTGAATTCTTTAAATGATTTCACTTTAACTGTGTCCTAGAGTTTCCAGTAATACAATAGGTGCTGTTTTGTAATCTAGTGGAAACCGAGTATTGATTTGAATGTTCGAAATGGATTGATCTGAATTAGACAAGACTGACTGGAAGCTGTTATATGATATTTTTATGAGTACTATGGCAGTGGTTCAACATATATATATATATTTGCCTCCAAGAGGTAAACTACAGACAAAATCTTCAGATAAAAGAAGAAAGAGAGTTCTTTCCACGAGTGTACACACATTGTGCCCTTCGTCTGTAACTTGGCCAAAATGTTTGGTTCAGAACAAAACACTTCCAGGAACACAGTTAAAGGCCCCCAAACCTCAAAGAAACAGAGTCAAGCTGTTGCAAACTGATTTTATTTTCAAGGCAAGAAACACTGACATTTCAATTTGTCATCCTGCTTCCTTTCCTCAAATGTGTTCTGGATGACTTTTATCACCGTTTTTCTCCTAATTTTTTCATCCTTTTACAGTAAATGTGTTGTTTTCCTCGTAATAAAGCCGAGTGATGGATGACAAACAAAATGTTAATAGGTCTCTGAGCACTCATAAACCCTGATTATTGCCATCCTTTCTGCACAGATAAAGAATTATGTTCACAGCAAAGCAACGGTGACGGGGTTGGTAAACGCTGTCATTTTATAAATAGATCATGTAGGCTGTGGTGTTGACGACTACTGCGAGTACGTTTATGACTTTATTCAAAATCAACTCTACACAACAGCATTAGGCAGTAGGCTAACAAAGGTATTTGCAACCGGTAAACGCACTGAGGTTAAAAGAAAGAGCAAAGACGGGGCGAACAAAGTGATTTTATTGAATATATTACATAATTTGACTTTTGAAGGACAAAATATTTCCAATGCATGGGAAACAGTTGTATCAGTGTTCGGTTGTTCCATGAATTCATGTTCTCATATAATTCATTACTTGGCGTTACTGCAGGGAAAGTAAACAAGTTCCATTTAAGTACAAACAAAAGTATTAGGAAAACATTGCTGAAAGCCAATGTCTGCCATCTGGCCCAATGGAAAGGATGTGAGCACATAAGGCAGACAACACTCCGCAGGAGAAGAAGCACAGTGACAAAGCAAAAGGTCTGTTTTCCAGCCTCCATTATGCGAACAGTCTGGAACAGCTTAAGTCTGGGTTCACACAAAAACACTGCCAGTTACCGAGGTAAAGACACACCAACCTCCAAGAAATAAATATTTTTTTCCTGATGAAGGGCACAAATGTTAACTGTGTGCAGACCAATGGAAAGCTGTTTTTATTCAGTATGACGGGTTTGTCTATTCTCTGCGCTTTGAAATGTACTGGGACAGCAAGTATCAAGGGTTATTTTTGGACCACTTGTGCACATAATTAGTGTACTCATATGTTTTAAAGTGGTTCTTCTCAATAGTTTGACAACAATAGATGAAATGTGAAAGGTGTTGCTCATAGTGTGGAGTTGGTTAAATCGGACCTGCGCTGTATGGGCCTGTATGACACCAGGTGTGGCTCATTAACTATAATGAAGGACATTTAACTTGGCCCTCTACTGTGTTGCAATGTTCGTCAACTCTTAAAATCAAGAAATGTCAAATTAATATCTTATCAGGCATAAAGGTCAAATAATGTTAAAGAGTATATTATCTATGATGAAATATGGCTTAATAAAAATGAGTGGACTCATTGAGTTTTGAGATTTGCTTAGATTCTAAGAAGTTTTTGGTGCATGTGTTTTGTGACCTTATTAAGGGGTTTTAAACTACTGACCCAGAAATACTAATGACTTGCTCATATGCCTTTGTTGCATTGACACTAAAGGGTTTATCACTGAATGTCAGTGGAGACACAAATAAGGGAGTAAAAACAGGAGAGTAAAAAGGTAATCTCTTATCTATTATTCAGAAACAAAGTTCTCAAGAGAGCTGTGTCAGAGAAAGAGAAATACAGATAGAGGAAAAATGGGTCAAAATTGGCTTGAGGAAATAGTTAAAGGGCATTTTTCACCTTCCCAACAATAATCTGAGATGCATTACGTTTGCTCAGATAACTGACTGTTGGAAATTACTACATGATTTCTCATTGAAAAGGTTTTGAGCTGCTTTGTGTACTTAAATGACAAACTGTTTATTTTGGTCTTCATACTGTTTCCATCCACTTTCCCCACATGAAACATTCCATTCTTTTTTAACACAGTTGCAGTGCAATTTCACTCCGCAGATTTCGCAGAGTCTGCAAAAGCATCCTTTGGGCCAATCGACCAACAGCAAAATTGGACTGCAGTCAATAAGACGCGGCCTCTAAAGGCCCACTGCGCACGACTTGCTCAACTCAGTCCGCAGATCCCTCAAGCCCCTGCTGTTGCACAAAGCTCTATTGCTTGTTTATTAAAAATGTATTAATATCGAATGTGTCGCATGTCAAAATTGCACCAAATTCAACACTGCACATCATTTTGCCCCAAGCAATAAACCCATTGAGTGTGAACTCCATCAGATGAACAGATATGCGAAGGACACACAGGCACACAGACAGTGATTCCTTTCTTTAGAGTTAGCTATACAAAGTGAAAACAAAAACTCAATGTCTAAATAAATACTTTTTGGGATCTTTCAGATGGGCGGTATTATTTCTTACAAATGCAAAAAGACGATTCAGTGAGTCAAACGAGCCTTTTGATGCAAGCAAGGAGGTAACAATTCTGAAAAGCAGTCGAATGACAAACTGATCATCTGGTGTGGGAGAAATATCAGGGGAAATCTGATATTTTGTGTTGGAATGCGAGGTAAGAATGTTTTCCACACACTTGGAAATGTGTCCAAGATGATCTCTACGAATGGTATGTGAGGAGAGTAACAGACCATACTGCGACCAATTAAATCCATGCGTCAATTCCCTGCACGCTGTGATGGACGTCCACCAACAAATGGCAGAAACATTTGGCCATTGATCCTTTCCACCCCCTTCCTTAAACTGCACCTATCAGATGAGTAAAACTCCACCCTTGATCATTTGTCTCACTATTTGTTTTAAGAAGTATATAATCGGATAAGAGGAGAATAAATGATTGTGTCAAGTGTTACGCAAGTCTTCTCTGGCCGTCTCATAACCTCTTTGTCAGATTTTCCAAAGCCTTATTCACAGATCGAGAGGTCCTGCTAAATGTATTCCGCTTCACAACTGGCGTCTGGGTTAAATGGCTGCCAGAGATTATTTTCACATTTTTCCACACATAGCTTCCCCTACTGTTTAGCTTTTTCCACAACCCGCCTTCCCAATTTCAACTTGAGTTACTTCTTGCACACATTTTGAGATGGTTGTTTGGAGAACAATCACCAGAAGAAGTGGTTGGTCTGTAAAGGCGATACATATTAGAAAAGGTGGAGGTAATATTAAGTATTGTACTTTTATGTTTGTTTTTGCTTTTTTGTGAGATAATATTCACGTTTCTTGATGCACTTGCTGTTAGTTAACAGCAGTTTTTGGATGATGCTCCCCCAGACAGTCATAATGATGACACCTTCAATTTATGTGACGACCTGACTGCAGTTTGCTAAAGAAGCCTCCCCTCCTCCCTCTCTGTCTCTCCATCTACCCCCCTCTCTCTCTCTCTCCACCCCCTCTTTCCTTCTTTCCCTCTGTTTTTCTCCAGAGACCTCCAGTTTTTAAACACCACACTGTTCTTACCTACTGGCCCTCCACCCCACGCACACGAAGAGAGAGAACCACAGGTAAGCTTTCTTGTGGAGGCATGGATTTGTGATTTCCTGTTTAATTATTACTGCTTATTTTTGCTTTCCGGATGGGATTATCCGATGTCACAGCTATGGTCCGTGGCTAGTGCTGGTACCGAGAAGGCAAAAATTACCAACGCATGAAACAAAAAACAAGTGGTAGAAGTCTAACGATTTGCATATTGTTTAAGGAGAACAGTGTATTTACTTAGATCTTACATATTTTTACAGATCTGCAGTGTATTTTTAGGACTGTTTCTTTGGTGTTGGTCACTTTAGAAAGCAATCTGTTGCACTTGGATCCAGTTTCTATCTGCATTCTTGTGTCTGGATTTAATTATCTGGTTCTGCAATGTCTGCAGGGTTGATGTTGTTCAGTCATAATCCTGAACTAGTTATATGTCTGGTTTTAGTTCATTCTCCTGTGTGTTTGCTTCATTGGATGAAAATCACTTTATTTAGTGTTTCATACTAAAAACATATGTTGAAGATCAGTGTAACATTTTGCATGTATATATATTGTGCACTCCAGGAACATCTGTGTTGCATTATCGCTCCCATTGCCAGTTTATGTTGAAATGTGACAAGTTGATAGATGAAGTGGTGGGAGTAGTGCCGTTTGGTTCATGCTCCAGCTGTAATGATGTGGCTCGACACAGATAATTGAATCAAGGAATCTAGGACTTATTGGTCAACAATGGGTTGACTTGAACTCTTGACCAATTATATTGGGGCATTGTATTGTATTATAGTTATTTTATCCTTTAACCCATTATGCCACCAGAATTCTTACAATGAGGCTTGAACAAAAGAAATCCATTTATGTCTCATTTCTGTTGTTAACATTTTGTTTTGACCCCTCTAAACTTTACATCTTATTACATGCCTCCCCCTCCCTTCTGTCTGTTGGTTCCCAAGAAGTTATGTTCCCTCTCCATGCACCCCTCTTTGCTGTATTGGTCAGCGTAGCCCTGTGCCAGTATGAGGACTATGACTACCAGCCTGCTTCCATGCTAGGACCCTCAGGGCCCAACTGTGATCGAGAATGCGACTGCCCAATCAACTTCCCTACCGCCATGTATTGTGACAGCCGCAAGCTCAAGTTTGTTCCCATGGTCCCTACAGGGATCAAGTACCTGTACCTCCAGAACAACCAGATAGAAGAGATCAAGGCAGGGGTGTTTGATAATGTTACTGATGGACTTCGCTGGTTGGTACTTGACAACAACCAGATTACCAATGCTAAGATAGCAAAGGGCACCATCGACAAGCTCACAGCCCTGGAGAAGCTATTCTTCAGCAACAACAACCTGACAGAGCCAGTTATCCCTCCCTCAAAGTCCCTCGATGAGCTGAAGCTGATGCACAACAAGATATCCAAGTTCCCCTCTGGACTCTTGGCGGACAAGGAGAACTTGACTTCCGTTAACCTTCAGCACAATAAGTTAAGTTCCGATGCCATCGGGGGAGCATTCAAAGGGTCGAAGAAGCTGCTGTCCCTGGATGTGAGCCACAACAAGCTGAAAAAGATGCCAGCCGGAGTCCCTAGTTCACTGGAAATCCTCTACGCTGACTACAACGACATTGACAGTGTCGGTGCAGGATACCTGAGCAAGCTGTCCTCGCTGCAGTACCTGAGGATCTCCCACAACAAGCTGGTGGACTCAGGACTCCCTGCTGGAGTGTTCAATGTGACATCGCTGGTGGAACTGGACCTGTCTTTCAACAAACTGCAGTCCATCCCCGAGATCAACGAGCAACTGGAGCAACTCTATCTCCAGGCCAACGAAATCAACAGTGAGTGTCAATTGGCAATCTTATCTCTTGATTTCTATTTTTGGCTATTTTCTTAATGTTATGTGTATGATTAGTATGCCTTACCAACCCACACGAATAACAAAAGTGCTTACTTTTTTGAATCATTTTAATTGTGCATTGTTTATGGTTGCAAGCCTGTCTTTGCAGGTGCATTGCTATATCTTTGTCCATTATCGCCAATGACTGTCGGTCAGCAGAATAGCATGAAACCACAGGAATGTGTTTTGCATGCGTCCTCATACTAGTGATCAAAAACTCCACTGGGTATCTTTAACCCTCAGTATAAGGGGGTTGAAAGGTATATATTAACTTTTGAGTATTTTGTTTTTCTGCCAACTTCCATAACTTGTTCTCCCCTTTTGATTCTCTGTAGAGTTTGAACTGACAAGTTTCTGCAAGCTCATCACACCCGTCAACTTTTCCCACCTGAAGCATCTGCGTCTGGATGCCAATCAAATCACACCTGCCAGCATGCCCTATGACTACTCCACCTGCCTGCGCCAAGCTTCAGATATCATGTTTGAATAAGGACCTCCCTCAAATCAATAACCTTGCCATGACCTCCTTCTCCACAAGTCAGCCCAAAGCCTTCTGGGTTTCAATGGCGTAATATCCCCTTCTGTCATAGTACTCAGATGTCCTTGCATATAATAAGTACTATGCAAATGTGCTGTAATGACATCTTCATCAATTAAATATATCTTGAATGAATCAAGAGCTGGGTAAATTTGAGATGCAATAGATGAAAGGACAAGTTCCAACATATTCTGCCAAACGTGCAGTCAGATTTTTTTTAATTCATTAGGTGTCAAACAAGTATTTGACTCTAGATATAAATGAATATTCTTATTGTTCAAATAAACATGAAGGCAAAAAAAAGTGGAAAGAAATATAGAAAATATTAAAAAGGACCAAAAGTTCTGTATATAAAAATGTATTTACATGCTTTGATTGAAAACACACTTTAAACATTCCAAACTTGTATTTGATGATATTGAAGAAAGACACAATGGAGTAAACAATGGCTCCAATGTCTCAATTCAATCATCATTTTGTTGTCTGTATTGTATGTTCCATTGTTTAGCATGTATAATAAAAGGTGGGTACAATAATGAATCCATTGCTGTGCAAAGGACCAGCAACAAATGTAAAATAGCAGTTACATAGAAGTCACATTTTTCAACATCTTGAATGAATCAAAGTGGTTTTCAGTAAAATACCAGTGTTATTTACTTTTGTCTGCCGATGTATGCCTTCTTTAAAAAGGGTGCCTTGATGCAAATACCATGATGTTCCACTGATTGACTTTTTTGAACTACAAAGGAAAAATATGTACACATATACCCAACTGAGAAATGTCGATTTCTTATTGGAAATAACTCTTTTAATTCCAATTTAGAGCAAACTAAGCTGCTTCTGAAGTTCTAAAGAGTTTAATAAATGACACTTGATGAAGACGGTAGTATTCTTGACGCAACCTTTTTTCTGCTTAGCTAAACCTTGAGATGATGGATGATGTTTCCAAGAAATCACAATTCAAATTGTTTCTTTACCATACCTAATTCCTAGCTGTCAACTTAAATGTGCATCCCTGATTTGTATACATTTACATTATTTGCATGCAACTAATGGTACCATTCTTTCATAATAAACTACAGCTTTTGCAGTTGAGGTGCCGTCATTGTTACGTTGTTGTTCACTATGTTTGATAAATGCTTCTTGCCCATACAAAATCAACTTGGCAGCAGTGTCAGGTTGGTTGAAGTAATAACACATTTTGTTTAGGTCATTTTCCATTTTATCGTGATTTCTTTTTGTGGCCTTTGACTCAGTAACTGCTCTTGGATTTGCTGTGAGGAAACCAAAAACAGTTGAATAAACTATGTTTCCAACATATTTGTATGATATTGCTTTTTAAGCCTGCTGTAATTAATTTCAAGCATGTATGGAAACAAATTGATGAAGCCATCTTATTTGATTCAGAGGAAGTGTAATTAGCTTTAATGATAGCATTTATGGTATTTATAAGGCAACTTTCAAGTTAGACAAAATAAATGCATTTGGCTGGTGTAAGAAATCCATTGGTTACAAAGTATGTGTTTATAATCTTTGCCTAAAGGTATAATATAACCAAATTGGGGTATTCTCGGCAAATCTCGGAATCGATGTCAGTGACAATGAATTGACTGTACCTAGACCTAGAATACTAAGAATCATATTGCTCTATAATGGTTACATAGGTATCAGTATGAATACAAACATTAGAAACCCCTCTCTTATCGTCTGCTTTTAGGAATAAACTGGAGCCAAGTAAACAGAGCCACAATCTACAGTCAGTTCTGTCCACCGAGATAATATATTACAGTATATAATAATATAAAACTTCTTACTACTTACTCAACCCAATGTCATGGGAAGGCATATAAATAGCATGACATTTCTGACATTTACGCGTGTCATTATTAAGCATTTTACATGTAATTTTACGCCATGTCGATACCACGAAAATGGTTGCAGTTATATTAAGGCGACAAAACTACTGTGACGGAGCAGTTAGGTTAAGGCAATAAAAAACATAATGGCTGGGCTTAAAATAAGTACGTTGAAAATACATTCAGAAACAATGTAACAGGAAAACACGTCACACGCCAGTTGGTGAGAGTGGGCTGTCTTACTCTGTGGAGTGTGCTGTCAGTTCTTAGCTGCTATTTTATATATTTCAGGCCTAAATCTTTAGGATGAAGTCATAATGTTTCTCGTGATTTACAAAAGGGCAAAAAAAATGTTTTTAAGATGGAAGATGCATTTTTTTAATCGCCAAGGCCTGTTGGTGTGTTTCAGCAAAACCTTGTGGTCTTCATCTGTATCTTGTATTCTCCTGACTTCCCTTTGTGTCTCTCAAGTCATTAATTTCCAGTATTTACTGAACTTAGTGTACCTATAATCTTTGCTCTATCCTACCTTTAAATGTAGCCTCGAGTGAAACAAAAAAAAACACTGCTGGTCCTGGAGGGATGCAGGGGTTGCAGGGTTTTGCACAATTCCAGATATTTTCTATGTAAATCTACCCTTCCAACTGTCTCAGACAGAAACCACAAATACCCCATGATGATTTCAAAGTACTTCGTTTTTTTCAGTTAAGCTTCCCTGTGGAGTTTCAACATAAACAGGGAAAGTTGCCTTAAGAGAGGACTGTCCAAGCATACAGTTTGCAATTAGATACAGGCTCACTCGTGGTCAAAAGTGATCAATGTTATCATTTCTCTAGAACCCTATGTCTAAACTTTTCTTTACTGAACTGTATTAAGAAACCATTCCTATTTTCCTGCAGAGAAAACCATAGCTTAACATTTTTCTCCACAGTTTTGCATCTCAATAGGTCCCTTCAAAACTAAATAAGGAGGAATACGGCTCAGATTGTTGGCCCCTTCGTGGTAGTGAGGTGCTTTTCATCTTACTATTGGAGGAGTCTGAGAAATGTGTTTTTATTGTGTGCCAGGAGGAAATAAAACTTTGAAAATCAGCACATTCCTTTTGGTTTCTGCACCGTCCAATTTACCAGAAAGAAGACTGAATAAGTCTTTATATGGAATTGATGTTGGTGTTTGAATATTGAAGTCTTTTTTTATTTACAAGAGCACATTAACAGATGTAACAGTTGAAACAAATTTACAATTCAGTCATGGTGAATTATACATTTTGTGTGTTTAACTGCAGCTCAAAACATACGATTGTGCGTGTGGTGTTGGACTATTTAGTAATGATGACCACTAAACTGGAGCAAATTGTGCCTACATCAACAGAAAAAGACTCTGGATATTGTCAAAGCTATAAAATTCTGCTTTTCATTATCAGTGCAAGTGTTCCAACGAGTATCAGCATCTGTAACATCTGGAAGCCACCGCAGACTATTCTCAATTCAAGAATTGGAAACAATTCTAATCTTTATATAATAAAAGACAAGACAGATAACTGTCATCATTGCAGGAAATGACAGAGAAACCCTGTTACATCCTCTAAAGTGTTCCTCGTGATATATGAACGCACTGTGGATAATAAATCAGGAGCAAAGATTCAGAGTCACTGTCTTTACTTGACATTAACTCTTTCTACAGTGTCAATGGTGCCTTTTTGCAGAGCTCTGCAGTTACTGTAATTACACCACAAATCCTCGCTGATGTGTACCACATGTGCTGGAAACACTTGTTTGAGTATTAGTCAAGAGTTCCTTAATACAGCAGACACTATTTAAAGTGTTGTTTTTAAACACTTTAAAACATTTTTAAAATGTTCATTTTATGAATGGCAATGCTAACATACTGTTGTTTAGCAGGTATGTTTATCATGTGCCACATCTTATAGTGTAAGCTTCCTCCTGAGGTGGATAAGAATGTGTGTACCAAATTTCATGGCAATCCATCCATAGGTGTAAAGACATTTCACTCAAAACTACAAAAGTCTACCTCATGATGGCACTGGAGGAAATGTCAGGGGATCACCAAAGTAATTCAAATTCATCATCTGGGAACCACAAATTTCTTTACCAAAATTTCCCGGCAATCCATCGAATAGTTTTGAGTCTACTGACAAGTCAGATCCTATGGACCAACACAGAAAAACAAGAAGGACCAACAACCAAACAGCACATTTGCAGATTTTAATACAAAGGAAACTCTGGAGAACAGGGTAGGCAGGTATTCTTAATTGATATATTAATGTGCACACATGCCGTTTGATTTAGCTCTTTGTTTTAGATCTTTGCATACAAAGCATCAAACTGAAAATGCACACAAACAGTAGGATAAATGCTTGTCTACAGCCTCAGGTTTCCTGGAATTATTATTTCCCATGATATCTTACGGGTGAGCCACTCTAAAACTAATAAAGTTAAACTTTTATTTCCAAATAAGTGGTTAACTTTAATAGTGGTGTGGGGCTTCTGTTCCACCACATTAGACAGTGTTGTATTGTCAACCTTTTTCTGGCAATGACCAAGTGTAAAAAAAATTCTACAGTGACGTAAGTGAGTAATTAAAAAAACAGTGAATTTTTCCTATAAAAAGTTGGGTGTGAGTGTCTGAGAGCAAACCCCTCTAAGCTGATCTGTAACCTCACCTGACAGCCTAGTAAACACACCCAAAGGCCTGTGAGCTGAAACGAGCCATAAAATGGCTGTGGCTGTGCACCCATCCCCCATAGTACTAGGTAAAGAGCGAATCCTCCTCTGTAGACCAAATGGTTAAGTTGGGTGGAGTGACAGCCGTTTCACCCTTAACACCACACTGATGACTTCAATTTCTACAAACAAAAAAAACAAGGAGACAAAACAAAAAGAGGCGGAAAAAAATGCTGGGCTGGCAGAAAAGCAGACAACACAAACCCTAAAAGGACATCCCAACTCAAACACAATCGTCCTCCCACCAACAACACATGCTCCATCCTCTCGGTTCAACCGGTGTCCAAAGTGCTGCCTTTGGGGAATCAAACCAACAACATTACAAGTCTAACTGGGCTTAACAGTGACACTGCGGACAATCATTAGAGCTATTCATTGGAGAAGCAGAACTGAACCACACCTGGCTGCATGGAGACCACTCACACCAGTCGGAGGACCAGGTAAAGATGATCTTATATTTCTTAAGTAAAAAACTGTTTGAAGAGGGGGAGTCAAAGGCTTGGACAGTGCATTTTTCAGATGGTTTACATCTGATTGGATTGATCTTTGCATTTGATGTGGTGCACCTTGCATGCCTATGTTTCTGAACTTGCAGGTATTACGTAAAAAAGGTGAAGTAAATTTTGAAAGTGTTTTATGTAAATGTCTCAGTTGATACGTGCAGTTTCTCTTTCGGTCACAGTTTATCTAATGAATTTGGAGGCTTTGGTCGGGATCAAGATTGATTGATTGATTTCTAATTAATGAATTTGCAAAAGTTTTACAATCAAACCTGGAAATGAATGAACTACGAAAAATTAAACTACGAAGTTTGCAAATGACACATCTTGGAAAGTCACATACTGCCAAACCTGTATTTATTTCCACATAATCATCCATAAACACAGTCACTTTCTCAGCTTTGGATGCAGCGTGCCATGTAAACTCTTCCAAATGTTTCAAAGTCATGAAGTGGATTTCAGCAAAGCCATCAACTGGAACCGATCCCACAAAACCCATGCAGCGCAAATACAATCCGTTGTATAATTAACATAGCTGGCTCAGACACAAAGGCCCTGGCAGGAAATGAGTATTATCATATTGCTCTGCATGTGTTTCTCCTTAGTCTGTCAGGGAGATTGTAGCCAACATTTGTTTTCAGAAATTTCTGTTCCATTTTGCAGATATGTGGAGCCCTGATTCACCATTTTCAACAGTTGGACCATTCAACATATTATTAATGACTATTAATGAGCCTGGAAGAATGCCCCATCTCTTGTGTGCAAGTCAGTAAACGTTTTTATCAAATCACACCCATTTTCAGTTAAATCAAATATAAACAAAGCGTTAGTTATACCTTGTTAATTGTATTTTAAAACTTTGTAATTTCTGTTATTTTATATAGCTGCTTGGTTACTCATTGTTCAGGTGCCTGCCTTGACGTAACGGTTGCACCAAATGCATATCAGTTTGACTGATTGTTGATTTCATCCCAAAACTTTTATAAGGTTGCCGGTTTCTGTAACTGTTGTTAGCCTCTGCAGTCTGACAGCAAACTGCATCATCCTGAGAGACAAGGACATTTGTCTTTTTTAATTTACTATGAGCTCAAAGAACACATTGGAGATGCAAAGAAGTGAAGTCACCAAGCTTGTTAGGATAGTATGCAAACGTGTCTGCAAACATGTCCATTCATCTAGATAGCGATTTGTCTTTGTACAATTCCTTTAAATCTGCTCAGGGCTAACGTCTGGATGTGTAACTGATCATACAAGATTACATCCCTGTTCACAAACGCACCTTGGCAAACAGAGGAGGCGCTATGATGGGATTGCATGGCTGATCATGGATAAGTCTTGCCCCTATCCTCACCCAACCCAGCTGTGATTATCCTGCTGCCTTTACCGTCATCCCTGGAAATTAGCTCAATCTCACGCTGGCATGTTGAAGGGTCACCAATCCTGATACTGGCTAGCTTGTACAAAAACAATTTGCCTGGCAAGCGTGCAGTAAAATCCCCTCAGATTAAGCTTGACCTCTCTCCCGTAACACCCTCAACCCTCATGCAGGCAACGTTTTGTACTTAAGAAGTAGAGTGCGTCATCTCTGTGCTAGATGCTTTAACAGTCAAGCCTGGAGAACGTGCCATCCCTCCTAAAATTGTAACTTAGATACTCACCAAAATCCTCACAATTTACAATACAGAACAAAATGTAGTATCTAAGAGTCAATTACGCATACTGCACTGCACTTATATCATCAGGCACAAAATTCCAATGAGCACTGCCTTGTGAATATCTTCTATGTTCTATGCCCTATATTTACTCGAAATCTGACCTAAGATCTATCGGACCAAGGCCACATCTTCCCAGGTAAAAAAAGTCTCATTTTGGGGATAATGTGCTTACATTCTTGGTAAACAGTCGTGATGGCCTCTTGCTTGCATTTAGAGATGATCATCTGTAAATTACAATTATACTGAGCTGTATTTGTGGACTTTGTGTTCATCCCACATTCTGGGTTGACTGCAAATACTGTAAGACTGACAATGAATCCTGATCTGATCGCGTCGTGGACAGCAGCAGCACTAAATTAGTGCAAAAGGTCACTAAAGGACGCTAAGGGATTTGTGAGTGGAGTTTAAAAAAAAGGATCAATCATGCCAACCAAAGGAGGACGGGTTGTACATGTGGAAGCCAGCGAACAAAATAAACAGGTAGGCTTGTATTAGCCTGTTTGTAAGTGGGTCATGTCTCAAGTACTAAAAAGGCTTAGCACACTATACAACGCCATGGGATTATGACCTTTGATCCGGGGAGAATCTCATTGGCCAAGGGAAGCTTTGGTGTCATCATTAATGACAGGTTGGCACGGGTTCAAAGAAAAAAATAGCAGTACAAATACAGGGAAGAGAGAGGTACAGCCATCATTTGGGACTACACTTGATAACTTGCTGAGGAAGGACAAAGGCAAGAAGGAACGTACAGAGTTTAAGGTAAGTTGGGTTTCTGGAAGGCAAAAACATTGATATGGCTTGATGGTGGTTCGTTAGATGTTAGTCTTGCATCAAGTGATTGGGTTTTAACTTTACGGAAACATGGATAACAATTTTATCATTTGCACCACACCTCGTATCCCAAAGCTGGGTCAAGAAGCTTTTACCCTTGTACAGTAAAAAAGCAGGGAAACAAATCTCAAAACAGGTGTGGCGGCTTTGTCTTTGATGTACGCCCATCCCAAAATGAGTTCCAGGCAAACATGGAGCGCATCAAGAATTCAAACAAGCACCAGATGGCAGCTGAGGGGAATCAAGTAGAAACTTAAGAGATGGTTGGATGGAAGATGATAGAGCTGATTTCAGATTTTGTTTGTTTCACCTCTCTTTTTTTGTTTTTGCACTTGTCTGTTACATAGTATCTATTGTATACTACCTTTTGCATCTCACTTTACCCCTGTGAGTTGTTAGTACTAGGCCATCTGCCATTTCCCTCAACTGCCATCACTAACATGGGGAAGAATTCGGTTCTCGTGAAGTGAATGTTTGCATGTGTTTATTTGCATGCATCATTGTATCAGCTGTACAAACCAAAGCAAGTGGACTTAGAAATGTGTGGCCATACGTGTTGCAATCAAAAGCCGGATGAACAGTATGCATCTTACAACTGACATGCAAAGTCTTCAAGTCTGAGCTTCAAGATTGTCCTAATACAATTAAAGTTGACCTGCTTCCTGTCTTTGGAGCTTCACGTGTCATCGGCAGGCAAAGCAAAAAAAGAAATGACCCAGAAAGAGCAGGTTACCCTCAGCTGCCATTGGAATTTAATGATAATGACATCAGTGGTAAAGTAGGCAACTAAAGTAGGTGGCTAATTTGGGCCCGGGTTTTAACAAGTGTGCATTTGTGAACGCTTAGTCAGCCAATGCCTTCATATTTGATGCCAGCTACATGATTTGCATGATTTAAAGTGTGTGTATTTTAGATTTCTATATGAAAGGCCTAACCAAGACTGTTATTAATCTTGAACATGAAACAGACACAGGTTCTAACAGTTGTATCGGTCATTAGAGATAGTGTGGTCCTAATTCCTCACAGTCCCCAATCCTTTGCAAATTATCTGATCCTCTTGTGTGTAACACTGTAGGACATTACACAAGCATCTATAAGATAGTTTTGTCTCCCTTTCCATCATAGGTTGGGCATCGACATGGCACTTCTCCTGAGCCTACTCTGCTTGTGCCTGGTTGGGCAAGTTCTCGGCCAAGACATGCCCTATGAGGAATATATGGCCCAGATCCAAGCCTGCCCTAAAGAGTGTCGCTGCCCCAATAACTTCCCTCGTGCTGTCTACTGTGACAATAAAGGCCTAAAGAGCATCCCGAACATCCCTCCACACACATGGTATCTCTACCTGCAGAACAATCTAATCGAAGTCCTGTCAGCAGATGCCCTGCGTAACGCCACCCAGCTGCGCTGGTTGAACCTAAACCACAACAAAATCAATAGTAAGGGAGTAGAAGAAGGTGGCCTTAGTGCAATGTCTCACCTGGTGCACCTCTACATGGATGAGAATCTGTTGTCCTCTGTGCCATCTCCCCTGCCAGCCAACCTGGAGCATCTACGTCTCTCTCGCAATCGCATCTCCAGGATCCCTTCTCGTGTCTTCATTGGTCTGGATAAGCTTATCCTCTTGGACCTCCAAGGAAACAAGCTGATGGATGATGATGTGACTGAGGTGAGCCTGAAGGGTCTAAAAAACTTGGTACAGATCAATCTAGCCAAGAACCAGTTGAATAGCATGCCTCTTGGCCTACCACCCACCACTACCCAGCTTTTCCTTGATGGAAACAACATTGAGAAGATCCCAGCCGGCTACTTCAAAGATTTGCCAAAAGTGGCATTTCTGAGGCTCAACCACAACAAGCTTGGCAGCAGTGGAGTTCCCCAAAATGTGTTCAATGTCTCCAGCATTTTGGACTTGCAGCTGTCTCACAACCAGCTGACCGAGGTTCCCTTCATTTCATCAGGCCTTGAACAACTTCACCTTGACCACAACAATATCAAAAGTAAGTTTGACATTTTCCCAAAACACCCACAGCTGTTTATTCTATGTATCTATTGAATAGGATCATTTATCAGAGAGGTATCCTGTAATGCTATAATAACTCATTCATTGTCTTTGTGTATTTACAGGTGTAAGTGGCGCCAACGTCTGTCCTGTCGCCTTGGACGCTGTGGACGACTCCATTAACGAAAGTGTTCCTCGCCTGCGCTATCTCAGACTGGATGGCAATACGATTAAGCCACCAATTCCCAGGGATGTCATTCTGTGCTTCCGTCTCCTGAGGTCCATTGTCATCTAAAGGAAAACAAATCATCGGTGTGTTGTAGGCGAATTCTAATTTCCCACAACTGATGATTATCTGTGAATCTGAACTGTTGACATGAGTAATATTTGCATGTTTTTGAAGCGGAAATATTTGACATTAGTCGGCATCAACTTGTTTCATTGCTGTGGTTTAGGGAAAAGTTCCTTTCAGTTCCAGAAAACATTGATTTTGTTTCAGAGAAATTTGAATAACATCTCAAAGAAAGTTTTAAAAAAATGACAAGGAACTGGCAGGTTAGAAGCTGTATTGATGCTGCAATCTATTGACCACTTGTTGTGCCTTATTTTGGTCTAAACATTTGCATTCAGAATAAAAATGTGACTATAATTGAGCATGACAGTGATTTTTGGGGATCGGAGAGCAAAATGTGTTAATGACATGTTGAGGACTCATTGTGATTCTGCGTCTTTCAGCAGGAGGCAAAGCTTATGAATATGTAGGCTAAATGTCCTTTTTCCTTTTATTTCTATTATTTCAGGAAACACTTTGCTTTATACTTGTAGACTTGAAGCCAAATTAATGGTCTTGTGTCTTAGGTTTGCTGTCTCAATTACTTTAGAAAAATATTCTACTCTATAAATAAGTATTATTTATAAATAATAAATGACCTACTGTAAATATGCATATTTACAGTAGGTCATTTATTTGTATTTAATATTGGAGAAAAAAAAGAATACAAAGGATATCCATAGACATCCTTAATGTTTTGTATACAAAATAAATTTGATGACTGTTTTAAAAGAAAATGCCGACACGTTTTTTTAATTCTGGGTGTTAGTTTTCTGAATAAACTGACCAAGAGATTTCATTTGAATTGTCTTCAATTTGAATAAAACATCTGAAGATGAGCATGTGTCCCAGTGATATTTTCTCCTCTTTTTACAACTCCATTATTTATATTACATTTTAATGCAACTTAAATGTAAATGTACATGTACAAATAATAATTGTACAATTTGTGGTATGAAGGAGGTTTTCCTCCAAATTCTGTCAAAAATATATTGAAAAATAACATTAGGGAAGTAATATTTTCATTAGAAAGTGAACATACAGTAGATAAACATCCACATGATATGGTCAAAAAATCAAAAGTTTTTTCAAACCTGGAAAAAAATAAAGTTTGTCTGTTGTGATTTAAGACAGCAAATTTTTCTCTTTACCATCTATGTTATTTTTTGGTTAAAAATAACTTTACTTTATCTCACTGACAGCTACTATATGAATGCCTTGACAGAGTGGACCAACTCTACAGGACTTCTGAGGCTCTTTACAATAAACTGTGTCATACACTGTGCATCAATCGTTGTCTCAAGCTTTTTTGGGCATTCGGCTCTTTGCCTTTTGAGAATGCTTAGCAGAAGAAAAGCCCTGAAAATAAATCCCAGCCTATATGGCAGGTGCAGAAGGATTTCTGGCATTCCTGCTCGGCCCTTTTCCCCTCACTCATCAAAAGGTCTTGAGTTACCATGGGAGTGAGAGAGGAGGGGTTGAGACAAAATCATGGGCAAATAAAGCTGACAGAGTAAAGCTAGCCAGTAGCATCCTGTGTGTGTCCTTTTTTTTTTGCTTAAACAATGCACATTGAAGACAGTCTATGAGTGTATAGCACCTCTTTGAACGCGCACCCACATTGGTACAGAAATGCACAAGATGCACGTCCCTCAGGTATCTTCGGTTGTCATCTCATCAGCCATGTTATAGTATCCCACGACTGAACTCAAATCTGTAGTTGAGGCAGAACATTTAGCGAGCGACGGCGCAAAGAGAAAGCAGCTTCAACTAAAAGGGAGGGCAGAGGCCTTCCTCCAAGAGGGGACTTCCTCTCTGCACCATGCTAACAGGGGCTTCTCACAGAGGTTCCATTGTGTACAAGGGCCCCGTAGATCCCCCCCCCCCCCCCCCCCCCCCCCCCCCCCCCCCATACATGAAAGCAACACATGCCAGAGTTTCACCTCAGGAAAAGGCAGACAAATATCTCAGTCCGATTGAGCCACAGTCTTAGAAAAATACAGGATACTCTTGTAAGGGATAAAAAAGTATTTTGCCATTGGGGGGCCTCTATTTCTCTCTGTCTGGTGTCTGTAGGTGTGTGTGAGTGTGTGTGTGCGTGTGGTATTTCAGATGGTCGTGCATTTGGGTGTACGGTGTGGGGTGGGTGCACTCCGACTGACCAAAAGCAATGTGCTCTGGTCCAATCAGTCTCAGTGCCTACCTTCACACATAGGCGACAGGGCACTCAGGTCTGCCAGAGCGCACAGACCTACACATACACGCACACACACACCTTTCACACACTTCACACACGCGCCCTCCCCTCTTCAAGGCACCCTGTGCGACCTCTCACCATTGGCCAAGTCCCGGAGCCCTCAGCATCTCCATCACGGCTGAAGGGACCATTTGGGAAAGCAGGAGACAGAGGTAAGCGTTCTTGGTGCTATCTTCATGCCGGCTCAATGGCTCTGTAGTGCAGGGGATTAGGCTCTGCTTGCCCCTTACGAAAATCATTGCCATTTAGCAGCCGCTTGGCCAATTGGTTGGCGGTGCAGCTGCTTTATTTCCAATCAGCGATTTTTTTTTTGGAGACTGAATTGTGGATGTCTTTGTTGTCCTTTGGCAATCTTAGTGGTTATGATATGGTGGCTGGTAGTTTTTTTAACCTTCAGTAAATGTGATTCAGGTGTGTTCAGAGCGTCCGACAGGTGTTTGGTTTTTTTTCATTATCATTACTGTTGACAACATTATTGATATTGACTTATTTTGCAGTTTTGACAGCTGCGGCGTTATTTCTTTTTTGATGCAATATCTAAACAAGCAAGCATACATGAATTTTGCCTCAATAGGTTTATCGAGTCATTAACTTTTTTTAGTCCGTTTTTGCTAGAATATAGCTCCTCCAATTCCAAAGAGTGTGATTAGAATCTATTTCATTTTATACATTCTGAATTTTGATCATATATAATTTTTGTTTATGACTTACATTTTTGTCACCTGCTTGATTGAGGATTTTGAAGTTCCTTAAAACCCTTTTTTTGTGATACAAATACACCAGTTTGTCGCGCAACCTGTCGTAACGGGACGTCCGTCAAGTTTGCTGAAAGGTAAAGAAGGTAGAATCACTGGATATCAGGAATGCCCAACAGGAAGCCAAGCATAACACGGAGGTAGTCAGGAGGCTAGACTCATACACAGTTTCCACACACTGTACACTGTGATGGCCTGTATAAGCACACCTCTGTCTCTAGTATAGTCCCTCTTTCAGTGTAACCATGCTGGATTTCATAGCTTCGTGACAGAAGGTTATTTCAGTGGGGATGCTCACCAGTCTGCTCACCTTTTCTCAATAGGGTGCACTCAGTTCATGCTGGACATTTCCAAGAGATACTGACAGGTTGATTTGCATAATTCGTCTATCCCCCTGATATCAACACAGATTTGATTCAGGACTTAAATAACCTGTGAATGTGTTTGTGGGTTTCTTTTTGTTTTATATCTGTCCTCATCCCCAAATAGCAGCAGAGGTTGCTCAATTTTCTCTCTCTGAAAGATAGGTGTTAAGACAGAGTGTGCATCTGTGAGAGGGTGTGTCTTTCCAAGTGTGTGCTAGAATGTGCGTGTGTGTATGTCTTTGAGCACCCTCACTGCTGTATGAAGCTTTTCCTTGCAGCAGTAAGTCACTGCCATCCTGTCCACAAACCTCGGTGGAATTTGGAGTTTGAGTGCTGAGACAGGCAGCGACCGGGCCTCATAAAGGCCCTCTGTAAAGGGCGAGGGGTCGAGGTAGCTTAGAAATCTGTCTCTCTCTCTCTCTCTCTATCTCTCTCTCTCAGTCTTATCTTCACTCTCTCCATCTAACCCTGAGGGCCAACATCTTGTCCACGTCTCTCTCTCTCTCTCTCTCTCTCTCTCTCTCTCTCTCTCTCTCTCCCCCTCTCCCCCTCACTCTTTTCTTCTCTTCTTCCCTTCCCTTGCTCTCCGTTTCTCTGCCCCGGCCTGGAGGACTCTCTTTAAACTGTTCTTCTTTTCCTGGTTTTCACATCGTCCATCTCGGGCCTGCTGACATGTGTGGCTACACCTGCTGATAGTGTGCTATAACATTCCTCCACTGACAGATGATTTATTCCTACTCCTAATGTCTGTGGTGCCATCTTATTAATTGATAATTAACATAAGCTCATTTTATTAGCACTTCCCACAGGGATTCACATTTATAAACTTAACCAACCTCACTAACATTATGAACAGCAGCTATCTGGGTCACGGCATAAATGATAATTTATGATTCAAGTAGAGAAAAGGCTCTCTTGTCTGTGCCCTCAATTCGTGTTTGTTGCCAACAATTCTGCTGCACATTTTCTGACACTTTTAGAGACAAAACAACAAAATAAATCCAGGCGACCTGTTTGAAGCTAATTGTTAAAGGGTTTAACGCATTTAAAACCAAGAATCCTACAAGTTGAAAGTAGATTTCCTTTCATAGAAGTGCTTAGCACTGCCGATTGATGAAAACCTTCCCATGGTCCCTTATCAGATCAACTGTGACTTCTGACCTTTGACACGCCACAGGCGAGCTCTGATTTGGGCCAAGATGGCTGCTCCCTGGAACAGGGAGCCTCCGGCTACAGTGAGGCAAGAGGCCCCCATATTTCGATTCCTCCAGCTGTCTGCACCTCAGTAATGAAATCACTCATCTTAATGATGTGACATAATGTCAAACCCTGGTCTGTGGTACCATATAGGTTGGTTATGAAGCCAGTATCATAAAGACATGTTGGAATGCTATGTTTTAATACAAAGCTTGTCTTCATTTCTAACAGCTGTGCTTAGTACTTAGTAGTAATGTAGTGGTATAGTATATATATTAAGCATTTAACTAGTTTCATGTGACAAATCCTGTACTGCATCTACAAATGTAAATATTTGAATGGACATTCCCCCGTTGACTTCACATCTCTCTGTCCGTGTCAAGGAGGACTACAGTATGAGGATGCTTGTACGACTTGTGTTGGGACTCTTCGTCCTCAAAGCGGTGGTGGCCGGCCCCAGATTTTCCCGACAGGTGGACTTGGACTCATACGACAATGCCAACTATGATGTGGATCTAGACAATTTAAATTTGGAGAACCAGGATATCTATGACTATGAAGATGGGCTGACAATTGATGATCCTCAGGTAAGAAACTGTCTCGGTCAAGAGAAAATGTTTGTCCCTTGCCTTTAATTGTACAGCTACGAATTGTCATTACAAAGGAAACATTTACATTATTGTTACCTTTTTTGTATTTGGTCACTTTTAATTGGCAGTTCAAGTAAATTAGTTGGGTCATTGCTTTGCTTATGCCTAACTTACTTATGCAATATTTACTTTTATCAGTTTACTTCATTGACATAGTGTGTTTTTTGTGCTACACAAATCACAGCCATGACGGTGTAATATTGGCGAATGTGCTGGTGTTGGACCGAGGTCACCAGGTTCATAAAGCAGACGAGCGTCCTGCTGATTTCAACAGTTTGTCCATCTAGATAATGGACATTCTGCTCTCCAGCTTTTTGCAATATTGTGGCCAAAATATTTCACTTTTATACCTTGGCCAGCCACCATTTAGGTTACAATGGAGTTTCCACAGGCTTACTTCTTCTGCATCTGGAGTATTTTTCTTACGTGGAATCAAACAATATTTATGCCCCAATGATATATGATGGGTATGTTTTTATTTTCTTGAAAATATTTTATTTTATTGCCCTTTTATTTGACAGACAGCAGTGTAGAAATGGGGGAGAGAGAGAGGGGGGGGGGGTGGGGGGTATGAGATTCAACAAAGGTCCTGAGGGGGGAATGGAACCTGGGATGTTGCGGTTATATGGCATGCGCCATAATCACTCGGCCACCAAGGTGCTCCCACAGTATATATTTCTATCAGTACCAGGTAAAGAGCGTCATCTGCTTGTGCTCAAACTCTCAAACCCTACTTTTCTCATTCTGCTCAAAGTCTGCTAGGCACAACATCTTTCAAAAGACGAGTGGAGAACGTTGGCAGGACGGGTTACTAGCTGGATGATGGCGTCCAGCAGTTCCCTTTAAATCAGCTCAAGTTGAGTGTTATGTGGCAAGACTGCAGGGCACGCTGGGATGGCAAGCTTTAGCCAAATTCATGTTCCCGTTTATACCTCTCTGTTGCACGGAAATTAGGCCAAGGCATGTCAAGATGGTGGATTTTCAACAGGCTTCTTCTGAGCCTGTGACTTAACTTAGACCTGATGTGGATTGCACTCACACCACTGCGCTTATCTCAAACCAATCCCACAATCCAATACAGATTCAGCAGATATGACAACATGTAGCAGAACAAACAACTTAAAGCGGCGAATTATTTCCATCTACCATTGCAAAAAGGTACAACAGCCTTCTGCCTATATATAAGATGATTAAATTCTGTTGTGTCACAGCTGAGTGTTACACATGACAGTGTTCAGTGTGTAATGGCTTTGATAGTGTCTCTCTGTTTAACAAGCCTGGATATGTCACAGCAAATTGCACACGATTTTGTGGGAGTCTGTGCGAGCGGGAAGAGGAGAAAACTTTCCCATCTTGTTGTTCACACTGAATAAATACAAAGTTTTGACTCGTAATCTTAGCTTTGCGTGTTGAGAAAAAGCATATTGCAAGAATCTGTCATGTTGTTTTGTTTTCTACAGTTAAAGGTGAGAGGGCAGCTCCTCAGATAGTCTTGTTGCTTAAGAAGAGTGAGGATTAAATGGATTTTATTCGCACACGCACACATCAGATGTCAGGGGAGAAATGAAGCTGACCTCCATGCCTCTGGAATGCTGACTCTTTACTTTCCACTTCCAGCTCTCTGTTTGTATTTCTCTTCTTTCTCCTCAGGGCTTGTCTCAGTGAAGGCTCATCTACGATGTTATCCAAGCAAATTGTCTTCAGTCTGCTGCATTCAAAACGCATTAATAACCGAGTGTAGATTCATTTAGGCGTCTTCTTAGTTTCAACAAGACATTCAGTCGGTCCTCTTGAACCAGACTTTAATACTTAAGGTTTTAAGGTCATTTCTGAAACTGCTGCTTGTGCTGCTGCTGTAGTGGATTGTATGTATATAGTAGGTCAGCCACCTGTAGATCTCTATTTGCTCCACATGGAAAACAAGTAAATAAATACAATGCACATGTTTCCCCCTTATCCAGTCATTAATATCATAATCGTGTCTGTTTATACTAAATAATCTTACTTAAAAATATAGGGAATTGTCTCCCTACTTTGGCCCTGCCAAGAGTTATGTGAGAGAATGAATACCACTCTCATGTCTGTGCGTTCAATATGAAGCTACGGTCGGTTTAGCTTAGCATAAAGACTGGAATCAGGGGGATACAGCTGCTCTGCCGTGCTCTGGCCAAAATCTGCCAACCAGCACTTCTAAAGCTCAATAATTAACATGACGTTTGTTTAATCTGTTCAAAGAACGATGTTTTTTTACGTGCAAAACTTTTATGCTGCTATCTTGGCCAGAACATGGCAAGAAAAGTGAATAAATATATTTCCCAAAATGTTGAACTATTCCTTTAAAGATACAAAGGGCAGAGATTCTGTTGGCATTCCCTCTGGACAGGATAGCTTCATAAATGTGACTCAAAATGTACCACATGTCTTTTTATTAGACCAAGGACTTTACATGAATTGACTTGACATTGTCCCTGCTGTGCAGTATCAGTGGATGAAGCACGAGCTGCGTGATGTCCTCATTTCTTCTCAGTGATCATTTTGTTTGTTGTAAAGGAAGCAGCTGTTGAACCGTTGTGGGGGGGAAATGAAGTCTGAAACTTTACTTCTCGTGCTGAATGCCCATACTGATTGATACACTACAGCATGACATTTGGCATCAGCTTGATGCTCACATTCAACGTCCTGTGCATTCTGTATTCCCATGCTGTTTCCAGAGCTTTTTTTTTTCAGTGCTTTTAGTTGCCAGCCTTTCGCCTCTTCTTTCCCCTCGGGTGTATATGTTTGCTTTGGGGAAAGGGGGGAAATGAATGGGAGAGCTGCAGCGAGCAAACTCTGCACGACGCTTTTCAAAGGCCTACCTTGTTGTATCCCAAACTGTGTCTCTGCCAAATCTTTTTAAAATGTGACTGGGCATCTCCTTCATTGCTGCATTTTAAAGTCTCAGCAGGACTTTTACGCATAGTCATTGTAACCAATCACTTAATGGCTCATTTATTGTAATGATGTATGATTTTTGATACCTTTTGGCTTACTGACATCTGACTACTGTGGTCGCAAGTAGCTGAAAAGACTAAAATATGGATTTGTGCAGCTACCATGTGTGTCTTGGTTCCACAAGGACCATTCCCTTTCTGGAGGGTTGAGTCAGCCTCATTGGGCGTCAGAGAGTGTCAGGTATTACCTGAGGCGGTGAGTGGGGGCTCATTGCCCTCACCTGGAGAACGATAGAACTGCAAGTTTGATCAAACATCAAAGAGCATCTGCAGTGACTGTAACTGCAATTATACCGCCAGATGGATATACCTGAAGCTTTTAATGAAGAAACCACAAAGGACTGCAATTCTTAAAGCTTGGGTGGTTTGGCAGAGCTGTCTTTTCAATTGTTACCCAACGCAAAACGTAAAAGCTGCTTAGCCTTTGTTTATAAAGTCATTTTATATTTTTAAATGAGATAGAGGAGACATTGACATTGACAAACCTCTGCAGTTTGTCTAGTACTTAAGTTTACTGACTACAACCAGTTTAGGGTGAAATATATATACTGCTTTTTCACATGGGATGATTTGACAACCTCTCAATAAAAAATAAAAAATGTAATGTCCAACGTTGAAGTTGGATTGACAACAACCATTTCCTGTCTTCAGTTCAAGTAAATACAAACAACAGCTTCAAACTGAATCTATATAAAATCTGAAAAGAAAGCAACTTTCTTTGTCGCAAATTAAATGGCATGATACCTGTCTATGTTCTTTTATCTGTTGGTATCAAAAATGTATTTCATTTACAAATGTACATTCTGAGAGTGCTAATGGTTGATGGCAAGTGAAATTAGGTCAATTAGGTGAAATGTCCACTATAGTCTTTCCTGGAAGTTGCACGTGAGTGTGATTGGATACTTAAATCTATACACATGGCTGCCATCTAGTGGTTCCTTCGTGATTCTTTGTTTTGGTCTTTGATACAGTAATACATCAGTTGTGCTGTGTCACCTCAGATTATATTAGCTCAGTTCTGCACTTTCTGTATAATATATCTGCTTTAAATAAATGTAGATAGAATGGATGAAAGTTGTTTAATGGATGGGATCAATACTTTTGCTTATGAAGTAATAAATACCAAATGGAATATCAAGAGATATCTGTGCTGCTATGAATAGAGCAGAGTTTAACATGTTGTAAATGTCCTGACACAATTAATGCAACTGTTAAAATGATTGTTGGGATTTTGACAAATCGAGAAATGCAAAAGATTTAGATTTTCCACATTTACGGATTACGTGGTGCAGAAGACACAACAAGATGCCAAACATTTTGCATGTTGCCCTCCATAATTCAAGTTATGACTATTGTACAGTATTAATGTATGTGTCAAGTCAAACTATCTCTATGCATTTTTGACTCACTGCTGCTGTCTTTCCCTCAGATAGAGATTGGAACACTGGCCCCACCTGACTATAACTACCCTGTACCTGAGGCCTCGTTGGACGAAGAAGTAGAAGAGGAGGAGGAGGAAGAGTTGCCCCTAACACCCCAGCTCATCCCTCAGGGTTCAGGGGGATCTGGGGTCCTCATGGGCCCAGACACACAGAAAGGTCTGAAACAGCACACACCCCCAAACTTTGAGTCGCTTAAGTTCACTGGGTTTAAGAGAGGGCCTTGCTCCTCTTGCTGCCGATGCAAAGCAGCATCTCCACAAAAAACATCCAAAACAAAGATAGACTAATCTACTTCTCCAAACTTGTCGTCTGCATATTCAACAATCATCTTTTCCTTGTGCATGTCTTCCATTTAACTAGCTGTTAATGGTTAAATGTGTCCTTTTCAATGTCCATTTGTCACCATTCGACTACTTAACCTGATCATCATTGTGAGCTGATTAATGATCCATTTCATCTGTCTGTTTATTAATACCTAATCTTGTCTCTAACAAGAGGTGGAGCTGCGTCTGACGCCCATTGACATCCTTCATGTGTCCGGGGACTTTGGGGGCTCCGTAGGGTCTGGGGCCTCAGGAGCTTCTGGGGCTTCTGGGGCTTCTGGGTCGGGAGGCTCCGGAGACCTACTGGTCTCCAGCGGCTCCGGGGGTTCTGGTGATATTATCCTGATCTCCGGAGCCTCCGAGGAGCTCCTGAGCTCGGGGGGATCTGGGGAATTCTTGGTATCTGGGGATATCTTGATATCTGGGGATATCTTGATATCTGGGGATTTCTCAGGATCCGGGGATATTTCTGGAGCCTCCGGGGACATTTCTGGAGCCTCCGGGGACCTTGGCTCTGGGATTTCCATTGAATTCCCCCTGGGCTCCGGAGGGTCCGGGGACCAGTCTGGTTCTGGGTTCTCTGGAGATCTCTTGATCTCAGGGGCCTCTGGAAGCTCTGGGGTTTCTGGGGACTCTGACGAGTCCGGTTACTCAGGGATAACATTGCTATCTGGAGGTTAGTACAGATGGCAACTCTACTGTATTTCTTGATGTGTTGATTTTTTTGTCTTCAATTCCATTTAACTGTGTTTTTTGAATGTAGTTAAATGTTGATTTTGCTCATAATCTTACTTATTTGTTAACTCTGTTCCATCGTTTTTGTGTTACTCATAATCAATGTTCTCCTCACCTCCTGTCTCATCTAAAATGTGAGTGTGATTGATTGGTTAATGGGTTGATTGATTGTCCATCTCACCCTCCACCCTTCCTAATCTCGTGTCTCCTAACCCCAACCCTTGGCTCTAACAAGAGGAGGAGCTGCCCCTCATTCCTGAGACTACCCCTAGCGAGGCGTCAGGTGCTTCAGGGGAGTTCTCAGGAGCTTCAGGATCCTCAGGGGCCTCTGGGGATCTTGGAGCCTCCGGAGACTTAGGGTTCTCTGGATCCTCGGGGGCTTCTGGTGTCTCTGGCTCTGGAGACGCAGAGGTCCCTGAGGTAACTCTGGTCCCTGACACTGATAAAGGTCAGTATCTAATCTAGACTTGTGGGTAAAAACTGTTCTGCCCGGCCCAGCATCAGCCCTGGCAGCCAATGAATCTTTGTAATAACTGGTCATTGTTTGTCAGTTTTGTCCACTTCACTTTGAAGTGTGAATTAGCTTTGCCAGTTTTGTTTTTTCTTCTCCTTTATCAAATATCACAGCTTTACAAGTACGACACCCCTTCGTAGTGCTATGGAGCATTGTCTTAAGGTGTGGATCCTAGTTTTTTAGTATCGTGCACAAGAAGGAAGAGACTGATAGCTAGTTAACGTGGATGTAAATCTTGCGGCCAATTCATCCCAGTGGCCAGTCGTGGTAAAACTTCTACATGCACTTCTGTAAAACTTGTGACAGGTCACCTCCGACAGTAAACAAGGTCTTATTAATTCTTAACTCGTAAAGGTTGTATATTTGTAAAACTTTCCTGGAGGCTACAAAAGCTTGGGGCCGTACACGGAATCAACCCCAGAAGCTAAAAATCTTTTTTTGTCTTTCACACTGAATCATAAACACAAGTATTTGTACTTCAAGTGAATGTGCACCATCTTTGTGTCTATTATCCAGTTACTAATTTACATCCATGATGTGTGACCACTCAGCAGGTCACATGTCATGCTATTAACACCAAAAAGCCATTTTCATTTAACTTCCATTCATCAGTTAAATGCCATAAACACTTAGTTAACACTGCTAACATACTTTGTGTGACTTATCACTGCGGCAAATAAGTGGGCTGCTGTTTGCCAGACCTGCCCATGCTGATCTAACCTGTTTCTTTAATACCTAATCTTGTCTCTAACAAGAGGAGGGGCTGCTTCTGGTTACACCAGAAACCCCTCAGGAGGGTACTGGCGGTGTAGAAGGGTCAGTGAGCTCTGGTGAACCCGACGAGCCCGAAGAACATGTGATTGACAGGAAAGGTCAGTATTTAACAACACAGCCATTGAATTCAGACTAGAGGGATAAAAAAAAATGCCAGTTTGGAACTTGTCTGCAAACCCTGAATCCTGTGAGAAACATTCTACCGCTTACTTTTTTCCATGTTTTATTCCCTCCATCTCCTCTTCTCCTCCTTCTGATCCCTATCCTCCAGGTATGCCCACTTGCTTGCTGTGCACGTGCCTCGGTGGTTCGGTCTACTGCGATGACTTGAAGCTGGATAGTGTTCCACCTCTTCCCAAAGACACCACTCACTTCTACGCCCGCTATAACAGAATCACCAAGATCAACAAGTCCGACTTCGCCTTCATGAGTATGTCTGAATATAAAATATATAAATATTAGAGATATTCAGGACGAGATATAAAGCTGATGTCTTGTTGGCTTTTGTCGCCTCCTTCCAGACAAGCTGAAGAGGATCGACCTGACCGACAACGAGATAACGTCCATCGATGAGAGAGCCTTTTTGGGTCTGCCTGAGCTGGAGGAGCTGGTGATTCGAGAAAACCATATCTCGCAGCTGCCTGCTCTCCCAGAGACCATGAGCCTGATCGATGGCAGCCAGAACAACATTGGCAGCAAGGGTATTCACAACGAGGCGTTCAAGGTACATACAACTTCTGTCACGCACTCGAGCCCAATCAATGATGGCCGATACATCGGTCAATATTAGCTTGTTGATGTTTTAATAACGACTTATACCTTGTCTCCTTGTATCCAGGATATGACGAGCCTGCTGTACCTGTACCTCACAGACAACCACATCGATTACATCCCCGTGCCTCTACCAGACAGCCTGCGGTCTCTACACCTACAGGTACATCCGCTTTGGCCTCATGACTCATCAACCCCCACCGCTGCACCGTCAACATGGACTATGTTTACATGCACAGCAAATATTCCACTATTATTCCAAATGTGAGATTATTACACATTTGATATGGGTCATAAACAGCATATTACGTTTGGCAATTTTGAATTCCGAATATAGCATTCGCCGTAACTGTAGGAAGTACGCATTTTACGTTTGTATGTACGACTGCATGTAAACAGGAATATTGCAGTGAAAGTATCTTTCATAGTTGTAATTTCATGTGTAAATATAGTTACTGAGAAGGCAATCTGGAATAATAAATCACAGGTGCCGTTCACCCACACAGGTGTTTTCACTTTGGCCTGATTAGTACCCTGCTCACGCTGAAGTGGGCGGAGCTATGCCAAAATTACATGAAGTCACAAAACGTCCCAAACCAATGAGAATGAGAAAGCTGTCACTTAGTGGTCCAATTAGGCAAAGTAACTGAACACACCTGTGTGGGAGGAGCATGGCCTTTAAGTAGGTGAACTTAAATGAAAAATTCCTTTCAGGTATTTGCACTTCACAGACGCTTGTCACTGAATAGCTCCTGAAACAAGATTTATTTACCCCCACCCCTCGCAAAAAAAGAAAACCCTGAAACTGAGAGGGGAATAGGTTTAGTGTTTATTTTCTCTGACGCTAATATCCAACCCATTTCACTATGAATCCTTTCGAAACATCTTAATACATCTATTTAGGTTTTGCTTTCAACAAATTAAAACAAATTGACCCTGATGATGAAGGCCACAAGCCGAAACGTGTAGGTCTGACAATAAAGTTGAGTTTTACCTCTTCGACCTTTTTCTCCCTTCCCCACACAAATGTAATGTTTCATAAATAACTTTGCATTTCACAATTGAGACGTGAAGACTAGCGTTCAGAGAGCTGAACCTGAAGTTTAACCAGAGACGTGATATATTTGATACCTCACTGAATGAATCTGGTCCGGGAACCAGTTCCAAGTGTCTCATGCAATGAGATGACATCTCATTATGTCATTATGTATCCTCCTCCGTCTTCTTTTGCAGCGTAACAATATTCAAATGATGCACGGGGACACGTTCTGCAACCTGAAAGACTTCAACTACATCCGGAACGCACTGGAGGACATCCGTCTGGACGGGAACCCCATCAACCTCAGCAGGACCCCGCAGGCCTACATCTGCCTGCCCCGCATACCCATCGGGGATCTCATTTAACCACACAGGCATCACTGACTCCCACCAATACAACCACATGCACACATCCTTGTACATATTGACACACTTATACTATACGGATCAGTAAAAAAAAATGTATATTCCATAAACATCCACAAACACACACGCAGATTCAGATTCTGGTGATACACTGCTCTACTTCTTCTTTGTTGTTGATACACACTAAAACCGTCACTCTCACGTTCCCTCCCCTATCAAAACGCACGCACGCACGCACGCACACACACACATAAGAACTTTCTCAAAAGCCAAACTGTTCTGCAACTTGATGAAGAGAAAACAATGGGTGGCATTCGGAGAAATCCATTTATTATATACATCCTCAAATGGCATGTATGCATCTGTTTAGTGTCTGTTCATGACTGGCAAGAAAGAAAAAAAATTACAACCAGTAATATTGTTTAAATGTTTGTAAAAAATAATAATATTAATGTTATTGACGAATCTTCACACTTTTGGAAATGTATACTAGCATAACGTTATTGAAGCTGGAGCTTAATGGAAGGTAAATTGATTATCTAATGCAATAAAAGACGCATTTAAACACAATCATTTGTTGTAAAGTCTGTACTGTAATATAAAAAAATATATATTCTGAAAAAAGATTTTTTACATGAACTGCAATATTTGGTATATTACATTTCAAAAAAGTGATGTTTTAACCGTGCACAATAGCCGACACCAAAGACTCTGTCTGGAGTCGATCAAATAAAGACTATTGTTTGATTTGGGAGTGGGGGGGGGGGGTTGACTTTGATTGTGGATGGGGTTAAGAATAATGCGAATAGCTTGCTATTGTGTGCTCTGTATGGAATAACCACAAGTGAATAAAGTTGTTGTGAAGACCTCTCCAAACCAAGTGTTCATTGACGCCTTGTGGGTGAAGTATGTGCATTTTGAATCGATGCAGCCAAGGTGGAGATGTGTTTCCTCAGGGAACGTCGTGTGCCGAAACACCCCGAGGGAATCAAAAGTTTTCGATAAGTTTTTCAAACAAGTTGAGGAAATGCTCCTTCCTGTCCACGAGAACCGAGTCGTTCGCCTCGCTGCTGTCCTCCAGGATCTCTTCGGTCCTTTCTTTGGTTGCAGAGAGTCTGTCCAGCCGGGCTTTCTCCCGCTCCAGAGCCAGCCGGTCCCTCCTCACGCCATCTCTGTCCTTCTCCACCAGCACCCTCTCCCTCTCCATCACCGCCTTTTCTCTCTCCATCGTCGCCCTCTCTCTCTCCAGCGAGGCTCGGTCTCGGTCCAGAGCGGCGACCTCCCTGTCCAGCGCCGCTCTCTCCCTCTGCAGCACCTGCCGCTCCCTCTCCACCACCCGCCGCTCCCTCTCCACCACCCGTTCCTCCATCTCCATCACCCGTTTCTCCCTCTCCATCACCCGCCCTCCGCCGTCCATCGTGTCCCTCCCGTGCTCCATCTCGAGCATGGCGCAATCTATCTCCTGGCTGCCCTCCTCCAGCGCCTCCTCGTCCTCATCTCCGTTCAGGGAAACCTCGATCTCCGGCTCGTTTCCAAACGGAGCCGCAAGAGAGTTCACCACCACGGATATTTTCCTCTTCTTGGGTTTGGGGATGGAAGGGAATTCGCCGTTGGTGGGGAAGGCCTTGATGATGGGGGCGTTGCCTTCCAGCCGACCCTCCATGGCATCGTCCATCAGGTTGAAATAAGGCCACGCGTCAGGGATCCCTTTCATTCCATCTGACGGGTACTTCAGCCCCTGAGGAAGAAGAGAGAGGGCGATGAATTGTTTAAATACTTGATGAATCTAAGTGGTTTCATTTGTTGTTTTTAACTGTACCTTGTATCTCTTCTTCAGGTTTTCCCATTTTTTGGATGCCTGACTGTGCGTCATCTTGTGGTGCAAGCCCATATGTTTCAGGATGGCTCTGAAAATATAATCATCTTAATAGCACACAAAAACATCAGAGCTGAAACAATTAGTTGGTATATCGACTAGTCAGACAGTTTGTCAACTACTGTGATGATGTTGACATGTTGTCATCATGAGTCATGGATTTAAAGTAGCAATAGCAAAAAAGTCACTGGTTTTAGCTTCTCAAGTGTGAATATTAAACAAACATTTTGCATTATTTGATGTTATGCTGCCTTAGTGTAAAATCATCAGACAAATCTCAATGCAGAATATCCCATTATGGTACTTTCTACATATTTAGACCGTGTAACGTCTCTCAGCGCTTTAACTTGCTGTCATACCTCCATGCCCACATGGAAGTATTTCTCTTTCCAGAGAAGAGGTATTTATTAGAAACCCTCAGCTTCACGAGGTCTTCGACTTCTTTCGTACTCACTGAGAGGGGGAGAGAAAAGAAATCAGTTAGACATGAGTGAAAAAATGTAGAATAAAAGAAAAAACTGCAAATCCACAATTCTCAACTCGAATATAACATCAGCACTTTATGACAAAAATGTGTTTAACACTGGTTATTATGCTGTGTGCATTTCTCCCTGCAAAATAAGATGAAAGAATACTCAATATTTTGTATTTCAGGTGAGTAATTAGCACAATCTCATCCTATAACCTGCACAACCTGCTAGATGTACTTTACAACAAGTGTCAAGTATCAATCAACAGTTAAAGTGAGTGTATTACTAAGTTCGGTGTGTTGCCTCATGCTCATTTAGACAATGTTACACAACAAATAAAACCTAGCTTAATCACCACTGGAGGCCAACTGAGAAAATGCGCGTTAGCTATATTCACTTTTAATCGTTGCATGAAAGCGTGCTTGTTGGGAACGTTCACCGTGGAGCACACTTGCTAGGTACCCGAGCTAGCTCCAAGTACGTTAGCTAGCTTGATTAAGACGTGGTATTTCTTGCTGCCTGTACTTACTTTTATAAGTGAACACCACGGGGCTGACTTTATCATAAGTGGTGCTCGTGTAGGCGTGATCGTTGATTTCCATGCTTTCTTATTTTCCGTTTCTTCGGTTTGGCCTTGTTATCAAGTGCCCTTCGTAAGAAAGAGACTCCTCGTTCCTCCTTCAGAGGGACCCTATTGTCTTCTTCGCTTGCTTTTAAAAGAGTGCTTTACCGTGACCTGTGAACCGGGAGGCGCCAACGGCATAACCAGCTCACTATCGCCACCCAGTGCCGCGGAGGATTAGCACACTACAAAATAATATTCCAAAGTATATTTTAAGTACTCCACTGTGTTTTTATAAATCCATCGTTCATACAATTGACTATTAAATTTGTTTATTCATTGATTGATAAGTATGTATACAAAATAAACAGTTATTACATTACCTATACAATATCCCAGCACGTTTTGCACTCCACTTACACTTATATTTGTAAACCTCTATCCAGTTGACAACAACACTGAACTTTATATAGACGTTGTATGTTATCTATTTGCATGCATTTACATGCATATCTATACATATTTTAACCTACATAACAATATAATTATGCTTAGTTATCTGTGTTTTAGCTTTACAAGGAAACAAAGTTAATTTATTTGTCATTTTACAACACATGGTTGCACAATGAATTGGACGTTGTACCCCCTTCACGCTTTGATGTCCTTGTCTTAGCTGAATATCTATTGGCGCACATACTTGGTTTAAGGAATCAGACTCTGATTTATTTATGTTCCTTGTATTTATCTTATATATTACCGGTGGATTATTTGCTAAAAGCGTATAGGTACAGATAAAAAAAAGTTTTTTTTATGTTTGATGGTTGGCATAATAAAGAAAATGTCTGCTGGGTCCGGATTTTTTGGATTTACATCTAATAATCACCGGTACCTTAACGATATAACTCTTTGTAGCCCCAACATATAGCTGATAGATGGCGGCTGTTTTGCCATGACTGATCCAAACAGGACCAACCTCTTGGCAAACAACGTCTGGGTGTGTCTGTATAAAAATAGGGATAACGAAAACGAAAGTGTTATGCCACACAATGGCGGATCGTAAGTACCTTTTAACCAACACTCAGTAATTAATAGGCTAATTTGTGTTCTAGCGATTATCTGCAGTGAGCTTTAACCCCATGCTTAACCACTTGTGATGTATGTATGTGGTCTGTATGTTTGTATATGTATCGTTTATTTATATGAGACGTATACTAAAAGCAAATATTGATATCGAACCACAACGTAATAGGATTATTTATGTATATGCCACTATAGGGGAAATACGATGGAAAGAAGTATGAGCTCTGAGTTGTATAAACGGATTTATCAAAAGTGGCGAGAGGTAAAACTTGATATAGTTTTAGTTTCGTTTATCTTCATGGAGCTCTCTATCCACGTACAACTAGAGCGCAACCCTGTGTAGTAAAGTCGTGCTTTACACGAGTCTCTCATCGAGATTAAGTTAAATTAAAGGGCTTATTATCTTAACTTGTTTTTATCAACAATTTCCAACGTGTAGATCATGGCCGTATAGAATACAGCTTGTGATTCATTATCCTGCAGACAGACCTAATACGTTGTATTTCAATGGCTACTACTTCCACTGTCTTTTAAACAGTGTCTCAAAGTTCACCATAAAGAATATCATATGGTACTTTCATTATTTCAATCACTATTTTTCACTGAACAAATATCACTACAGCAAATGATTGCAACATGACTTCACAGCTGAGAGTTCATCAGATAGCATCTCTTTAAATATATCTTACAACAGCTCTGTGCTGACTCTTCGAATGTTCTTCCAAGGCAAACTGGGAATTATTGTCAGGAATTATTAATATGTGTTTACCAAACATGTAAACATTTGATATGTTTTTTTTGCCAGAGTCTGGTGAGCAAAGCCCTTTGGAAAGTGGATCTGACGTCAGTGATGAGTCGGACAGTGACGGAAACTCAGACGTAGAAAGTGATTCTCAGGTTTGTTGGAGTCGGCGTCTATTTTCTAATTACACACAAAGCCATGAGAAGGGATCAGTGAACCCACTTAAACCCGAACTTTACACATGTTAGGCTGCTGATGAGAGTTTTACTGCCATAACGATACAATATACAACATAACTATACATTCCTTACCGGTGATGGAAGCAATCTTCCATACGTTCATATTTCAGCTCGATGGGAAAGAGCCCTGCAAGTATTACAACGGCCGGGGCTGCAAGGAAGGTGAGAGGTGCTCTTACTTGCACGCCTGCAAGTATGCCCTGAAAGGAAGCTGTCGCCACGGGTCCAAGTGTAAGCTGTACCACCCCCGAGCTGAAAGAGAGTCCTCTGATGCGAGCAACAGGGCTTCGGACCGATCACGGGCTAGCGGTGAACCACATCTTGATTTCTAAAAGTCCTTAACTTCATTTACTTATCCTATTGCCTCTTCATGGCTCTGCACATGCCAATTGCATGTCTGTTAGTCCTGATACAGGGATCCTTCCTCTGTCGCTCTCTGTTAAGTTATTCTCCCATTTCTCCTATTTTATTTTATTTTTGAATTTTTCCTTAAATGTGTGATTTTGAGTCACTACAACCATCACTTTTCTCATTAAACATAGTCATTTGATCCATTGTTGATATAGAAATATGTTGATTAGTGTGGCTTTAATGCCGCTTAGAATTATAATAGGAATCACTGTTTGTGTTGTTCAGTGCTTAAACTTACAACATTTTCTTCTTTTTTAACCAGACCCAAAGCTTACTGATGGCCGATGCTACCAGTGGCAGCTTAATGATGGAAATGGCTGGTTGGATGTTTGTAATGATCACCTTCTGGAGGCCCAGTACTCGCTGCCCCACACCAAGAGCATTACAATCTACAACACATCATACGGGTATAAGAGCTTAAAAGAAAACACACAGCGCTTGAACATTTTTGTCCCGGCGCAGAAAACAGCTTGACGATTTATCCCTCGCTCTCCGTCTCTCTCCGTAGGGCCGTGAGTATCGATTTCAACAGGATGAAAGTGTTCAGGAAGAGTCTGACAGTCAGACGTCTGGATGATGGGAACGCGGTGTGGATCTGGTACTGCACTTTGAGTCGTAAGTGGATCAAGTATGGAAGCAAGGTGAATAGATTTAAACAAGTTGAGCTTTCTTTTTCTCCCGAGTGTGACACAGTTTGTTCATGAATATGTATATTTTTATTTCCTGTGCAGGATTCGAAGGGCAACCCCAGTCCTGTGAAGAGCTCTGACATAGAGAACAAGTACCAGAGTAACCCAGCAAGCTCTTATACTTTCACCATCGGTGCCGAAACCGTTGAGATTAAATTCAGAGGTGAGGTCACAAAACGTTCACAGAATACTTACATACTATGTTCCACGTGAAGAACATTGTTAGTTTCCTTTCAGATGCCACCTTCATTTTCTTTTCGTCGATTGTCAGAAATGCGACAGGTGACAGGACAGAGAAAGAGGAAAGTCACTCGTCGACCGCTGTACCGACAGCAGCTGGCAGGAGCTGGGTGAGTTCGGACTTTGTTTTGGCGAAAGGAGAAAGTGAACAAGCGTGTTTCTCAAATGTATCCAGAATTTTGGATTTTGTCGATTTCAGAGTTTCTCAAACAGCCTCAGCTCTCCAGAATCTTCTTCTAGGCGCCAGACCACAGTGGCAGTTTGAGGGAGACAGCGGAGCGTGGCACGAGTTCATACACAGGGTAAGTAATCCGGCTCCGTTAAGCTGAGAACACTTTGTCTTTTAAGAGAAACCGTGATGACTTGAATGGTTTCAACAGAGGGGCACTCCAACGGAATGCTCCGTAGCCAGCGACGAGATCGAGAGGAAGTACGCGCAAAACCCCAACGACAGCATGATCTTCAAAGTGAAGGGACGCTCCTACAAGCTGGACTTTAACGGTTGACTTTGTGTTTTTAAATACCGTGATCAGATAAAATAGTAGCGCTTTGTTTTACCGGTTCACTGTTTACTAGCAAGTTGTTGAATATTTTCTGGAGAGAAGTTATTAGTTACCAAATGTACAGATAATAGAGACAGTTTATTGTGTTGAGTTGCTTATTCCCAGGTGAAAGAACTGCAAATTATGATGAATTCATGGTCCTGTAAAATTCAACTTTGCAAAGAAAATACAACTCCCTCAGCTGTTCTGTAACTTCCACGAATAGTAATCCTGAAACAGGACAAAGAGCATTTATCTATTTGTTTTGTTTCTTGTATTTTGTCCCTGCAGCGATGACCCAGACCAACCTCAAGACCAACAATTCACGCAATATCAGGCGTGTGCTGGTCTGAGTACTTCAATGGGATTTCGAAGACCTCAAGAAGAAAGTCTACAATCAATTGTGCAATACCATATTTATACAATCAATCTGCATTTATGATTTGGGTGTTTGGAGCACACTTTTTATCCTTTATGGAAAATGTATTCTTGTGTTTACATCAGAATTCAAGATGAGATTAAATTAGACTGAAGGCTGTTTTTTTCTTAAAACATGGTCTCGCCACAGGGGCCACAGCTGCCACTGTGTCAAAAGGCTCTGAAGTTTACCAACTTAAACCTAAATGCTGCCTCAGACCAACTTGCGCACTGCCAAACCAGGGGGCGCTATGAGGCCGACACTATTGTAATTATACAGATATGTCATGTTACGCTCAGGCTGCCACATATCTTCACACTGCCTCTTCTGATAAAAGAGAATTCATTTGGACGCAGATTTTATGCTAATTTAAGGCCAAATTTGAGCACTATGTTTTTACGTGACACTGGTGCTTACATTATGCTGTAAAAATCTGCAATTCTTCAGTTTCATTTTTTATTTTTTGCTCAAGATTAGAAGTTCAGTCTTGGATTTTAAGCGTTATTCTGTATTTTCCTTTGAACTAATGTCATACAGATAATATAGGCTAGTGTGTAATGAAATCGGGAAATTATTGCAAATAAAAAAAACGCATTAAATATATTTGTGTGTGTGTTTTTTGAGGCAATAAGAGCTGATATTAGTACTAATCTCCATTTGTTTTGCCCTTCATCTGAATATTATATAGATGAATAATCATCAGTATAATTTCCACAGCCCTGTTATCCTGTAAACAACGTACTATGTATATGTATAGAGAGAACACAAGGCAGATAAAAAGAAACATTTTACTGTTACTGTTTACTATATAATTACAAAAAAGATCAAACTTCCTCATTAGGCTAAATGAATCATTATATAACTTGTTGACTGACAGCAGTTAGACTAAGATTGTTATACTTTACCGTAATAAATGTAAGATAAGAATAAAATCAAATCATATTGACGTAGGCTGTAGTCATTGTTCTGGTTTGGTTGCGTGAGATCTGTGCGTGAACACGCCTGGCTGCGTAAAAAAGCGAAAGTGAAACTCAAGCTTCTTGTGAAATGAAATTGTTTCTGAGTAAGAGTGAGTGAAGGAGCTTTAAAGGAGCTATGACGTTTTTATTTAATATGTTTTACGCTCACGTCACGTTTGATTAATTTGCCCTTTTCGTTATTGTTCGGCTACAAGTGTATTTTCCTTACAGCATGGTGAGTCCACTTCACGGAACCACTTTGGACTAAAGACAGAGTCTTTGTGATGTGTACAGTCTTTGTATTTGTTGCTTACAGGAACGTGGAGCGGAGGTGGGCTCCTGGCACCAGACTCCAGGTCTGTTTGACATCTTATATTCCTGCTGTATTACTCCTTTGTAACTGTCTAACTTACACTAAGTTCACAAGAAGCTAATACAACAAAAATCTAAAATTGAAGACTTATATATTAATCTAAGAAGTATGAGAGCGTGACTTCAGAAAAGATTGATGACGTGGTTACTCTTTGGACAGATTGTACATGATGTCAGTCATTAACTTCCTTATTTTTCTTATCTCTACAAACATGGAAATACATTGCCCACAGGCCAGGAAGTGCACCTGGCCCAACCTTTTTTTGTTTAGCTCCACACCTGTCGCACACAGTAAAGGAATAAAGAGTGAAACATTAAACTGGCTCATGGATTCTATAGCAGGCCATTTGTCAAAACTCTGGGTCATTAATGCCTCATAAGCTCCCATATTCTTTTGTTTTACAGTCAATGGGAAACATTATGAGTGGCAGCTGTCAAATGGACATCAGTGGCTGCCAATTGACAACGACCATGTGATCGAGACCCACTACTGCCAACCTGGAGCGAAAGGAATCACAATCAACTTTATCGATCGGTCAGTGTTTTTGTTTTTCAGTCTTTATGGACAGAAAAGGGCCGTTCAACTTTTCTTCAACGTTTGTAAATTTGCTGACAATCCCATAAAATTTGTCTCGGGGTTCAGCTATTTTATTTAGGAAGCACTTGCATTTAACCTGGAGGTAAGGTTTGACCCATGAGCCTTACAGTGAAAGTGAGCCAAATTGTATTGAGCCATTGTAAGCTCGTTGCAGCTTTTGAAACAGTATTTAGTTAATTAAGGGAATAAAAGTGTCCATTGAAACTGAGGATGGTGACAATAAATAATATTAAGAAGATGGATAACACTGATGTAGTAGTGGGATGGCTGAGTTCTGGTTTGGTGCAATTAAAACAAAATGTCACATTCAACAAAGTACATCAAACTTAATAATCATATGTGTCTCCACAGGCAGCTGTTCATAGACTTTGATAAGTTACAGACTCTAACTCCAGGTCTGGGGGTCCAGAGACTGAGCTTCCTCCCTCAGCGCCAGACGGAGGACGTAGGCTGGTACTTCAGAGATGACCAGCTGTGGCGTGAATACGGATCCCAGGTGAAGAAGATCTCGCGCATTGACCCTTAATTCGATTCTCTTGGGTTTCCCCCACTCTGAGTGTCCTTTCTCCTCCTCAGAGCTCCAGCATGGTGTCCTCGTCAATCAGCAGTGCGCACGTCGAGCGTCAGTTCACCCTGAACCCTCGGGGAACCTTCAGCTTCACACTGGGCTCGACTGGCTACTCGCTCGACTTCTCCAGTGTGTGATGTTCCTTTAAATGTTGCCCTTGTGCGCTCGTTAATTTCAATAAATGTGTCTTTATACACCTAAATATAACTGATGGTGTTTTACTCGGCAGCCATGACACAAACAAACTGCAGCACAGGCCTGCGCAGGAACGTACGAAGGCGTCCAAAATTCACTTCCAACACAGGGAGGTGAGGCTTTTCATCTGTAGGCGGCTTATTTAGGTCTAACATTTTGATTTCCTGCATTCAGTACAGGCCCATGTTTGTATGTCATGCACTCAAACAGATCAGCCTCAGTCGATTGATCTGTTAACAGCAATCTAGGAGGACTAAATATGACTTGAGACTTTTTAGCACCAAACCCCTGTATAAAAGTTCTTATTTCTCTGCAGCTTTTACTCCACCTCGGTTTCCTCCTCCCAGCTCACTGATGGAGGCTACAAGTGGGAGTTCATGGGAGACGAGGGGAGATGGACAGAATACAAAGCACATGTAAGTGGGGCATCGAACTTCAGGTAGTTGTGTCAGAAACTTGTAAACAAAACGGAAAAAAACGTCCAGAAATGTTTGTTATGGTACGTAGTAGTATGATTTTTAAAGATATTTTTCATTATATATATATCTTATTTACATGTATTTTGTGCTGATGAATAATGTCAGGGAGTCAGCAGTGGTACCTGGTGGTGAAATTGAAAGCACTTTGAGCGCGCCTTCCTCTGTAAAGTGGACTTATCTGTGCCGATTTCTATTTCTGTGTAGATCTGTTCATTTGACAGCGCTGCCATTGAGGGACAATACCAGCTGAATCCACAAGGCCAGCTGCACTACAAGACCAAGAGACACTCGTACACGCTGGATTTTTCAAGTAACTGACACACACACACACACACACACACACACACACACACACACACACACAGCTAAGAAAGCCATTCCTCTGCTCAAACATAACAGCAGTGTAAATCACTATTAAAACCTCTGTGTACACTGGTTTATCATAGGAATGTGTCAAGTCAATGACAGGATCGGGACTTCAAGAGCAGTGAGGAGGACTGCTGACTCTGGGAGTCAACAGAACAACAGGTCAGGAGAAACCTTTCACCGTGAGACTGAAAGAATCCCTTAAAACACGGATTAATCCTTAATGTATCCCTGAAAACATCCCAAACATCTTCATTGAATCGAATTGAAGCTAGACTAACGTTACATCTATTCTTGTCTGTTCTTCAGTTCGGGCACGCTGCCACGATGGCAATTTCAAGATGTCGGTGGACTTTGGAAAGATTATTCCGAAGGAAGCAGAAATTCCAGTCAGGACATCGAGCTCCAGTACCAACAGAACCCGTCAGGCACCATGAAGTTCACCACCAAGCACTTCAGCTATGAGCTGGACTTCTCAGGTGAGCTGGAAACATCTGCATCTACAAACATCTGTATCCCAGACTGGTGGTGATGTTACAGTAATGGATTTACTTCAAATCCATCTTTTGCAGCCATGACTCAGATGAACCTGTCCACAACCACCACCAGAGCAGTGCGACGACTCAACCAGTGACTGTGGGACGACCGACGTGGGTTGAAGGTCGGAGGTCAACTTCATGTTGATCCTCACAATTGCCTCAGTGCCTGCATCAGGTCGTCTCTCAAAGTGGAATGATTCACTACTGTTTTACACAAGTTATTTAAACATATATATATATATATATATATATATATATAAAAACAACTTTAGCACTTTTGATAAGATACCTCTCTTAACTTAACTTTGATGTATTTAATACTGCTTACTCATTAAATGTAAATCTTGAAATGTTGGCTCATGTAATCTGTTCTTTTCTAAATTAAAGTTACAGACACTAAACTGTCCGTCGTGTTCTAAAGCCATCGCACAAATAACGACCACCCTCAGAGTATTAGATTGTGTACTTTCCTTTATATGTACAGGTTTTCATTGAACCACCTCAGAGACCAGCACCTCAACACGTAACACAAGGGCCACACTACACATACAGCCACAGTGGTATACAAACAATCTTGGGGGGGGGTTCTGCCAGGATATGTGAAACACGCTTTTTAAAAAAGAAACTGCACTCTCCAGCTGAAAAAGCTCCAGTCGCAGAAACTTGTCGCCTTGTGAGTCAAAAACCGGGGAATAGAACCCGTGGAGTCCAGTTCACCAGTAACGCTGCCATGCGGCTGGACAGAGCTCACCTTGTATAGGTGGCACTATTACACAACAACTACAGTCGATCCAATAACAGACGATACACTTCAGCATGTTAACAATCAGTCAGCAGAAACAGTGTGACCAACAACCCGACAATGGTGCGATCCTCGTTTTCGAATGAGTAAACGTTAATGTTCATTTTTAGAACATGTGACAGACCCGTGTGATTATTGTAGGTCGGTGGAGATGAAGCAAAAAGGACACGTCGACGCCTGAACAACCAGTAAGGATTATTGCACACGACTCATCTAAGGCCTCTTCGCCGTCATCACGAGGACATTAACAAAAGGCCCTCACAGAGCAATCCATCTTTAAATAACTATATATATTTACACTTCATAATCAGATGTCGCCAGCACGGGGTCCTCGGGACAGCTGAAAGGTGCTGAAATGAAAATATACTGTGAGAATCTTCATCATTGTACAAATTGGTCAACAGAAATGGTGCACAGGAGCAAATCCAGCTGGATGTGTGAAATAAAAAACGTCACGGAATCATTGTTGGAAAAAAGAGATGCTGAAAATTCAAACTTTAGATTTTTTTTTTTTCGTGGTCAAGTTCAGTAACATGCAACATAAATCTGAGAAGCTAATGCCGGACGGCTGATTAAAAGTATTAATATTTGAGTAACAGATGAGATGCCCGTCTCGTCCTACACATGTACCCGCGTAAGGCACCGTAGCCTAAGCGTGCTCCTTCGTTCATCGCCTTGTTAGGACACTGATGTAAAAGCTACTTCACACATCTTCTCCCACTATAACACACTGATAAATCATTCATACTGCATTCACAGAAATTGATACAATTGATTTTTTGTTGCCAAAAAAGATGAAATGGTCGTCAACACACTGAGACCGGACTAAGCTAACCCTTCCCTTTTCAACATTTGATGTCAAATTAAAGAACAAAAAAAAAAAAAAAAAGAGCAAGCTCTGCAGCCTTGGAACCTGATGATGAAAGAATAAAATTAAAAAAAAGATACCCAGACTGCATCGTCAGACCAATTTGTGTTCACAAAGATGGAGGTGTTGTGGTGCTGCAGTGGAAGCATGGAGACTCTCGACACCCCCTTTCAGATCCACGGAGGAGCCTCCTGGATGCAGATCAGTGACTGCAGGCTCGTCAGCGCTACACTTCAAGCTGCCTCCCACTGGGCTCAGACTTTTGTTTTTTACGCCAACTCTCTGATCCCTTTAGACATGCAGCAAATCCTAAAAATAGTCTGGAGAGGCAATGCAGACACAGAAGCTGAGCAGATGTGAAGCCATGTTGTTCCTTCTTGTTCTGCCCACCTTGAGGAGTGATTCTGATGGTTCAGGAAGTGGAATCCACTCGATCGTTCAGGATATGAACACAAAACCTTCCTGAATAATGGGATTAATCTCAACCCACGACATGTGGACATTCCCAAGAATGTCAAGTACAAAATAGTAGGAAACCTTCAGCATTTAAAGAGCACAGCACAGAGGAAGAAGTTCCCGCCTCAACCTTTTTGTCTGGTCAAGTAGAAATGGAATTCAGGTGCAGGTTAATACGCCAGCTGAAAGTGAGTGAGAGTCAGAATTTATACCAGGTCATATTAAAAATACAGACAGCAAAACCCTCGGAAGGATCGGGAATCTTCACATTCAACCAGTGTCCTGGTCTGAGGATTCAAGGCTCTTCTGTCCAAAGTTATTAAAAGAATATACTGAACCTGGCATCTTTTCTTTTTTAATTTAGCCGAACAAGTCTTTGAGATCATTGTTGACGGATGCACTATGTTTAATTCCACTTTGGTTCAGACTAGCGGCAGCAGCCGGTTGAGAAAAGTTCTGCGGGCTGAAAAAAGGGTTTGCTTGCATCCCGAACCCGCTGGGCGCTCCTCCCATTCCCGCCGGCGCGCCCTGCATCTGAGTCTGAGCGTTCTGGGCTGAACCGAACTGATTGAGCCAAGGGGTGCCAGGTGCCGCCTTTGGACCCATTTGGTTGAGGGTGACTTTGGTCTGGCTGGGAGAGAAAAGACTATCCAAGGCAGACAAGTCGGGGGCTTTATTTGTCTGCCCGGTGGGTCCTTGACTCTGCGTGAGGGCTCCAAAGTTTGGGGTGCTGGTGGTGGTGGCCATCCCGCCGTAGAGGCCGGGGCCCGTGGGCCGCATGCCCATCCCCATGCCTCCTGTCTGAAAGCCCATGGGTGGGTTGAATCCGTTGGACACCGGGGCGCCCATTGAGCCCATCATGGGGCTGGAGGAGGGGAAGGTGGAGATGGTGGTGCCCTGCACCGGCGCTGGTCGTGCAGCGTTGGCTAAGGACATGCTGTTTAGAGATGTCATGCTGTTGAGCAGGCTGCTCGTCAGATCCTTAGTCTGCAACAGAAACACGGGATGAGATTTATCCACCTAGCCGGAGTCGATTGAGCACGTGTTTGTGTACACAGCGGCTTACAGGCGTTACCTTTGTGTTGGTGGTGTTGGCTGGTTTGATACTCTGTGGTGCTAGTGGCTGCTGGTTCCTCAGTTTGGCTGCCTGCTCCTGCTCCTTAGCCAATCGCTGCTTCTCCTCTAGAGTCAGGGACATCTAGGGAGGAGCAAAGAGAGAGAGAGAGAGGGAGAGAGAGAGACCATGAACAGATTGTCCATAAAGCATGTAGTCCAAAGGTGAAGATTTGAGTAACTGAGGTGTGACATTGTTTCCATACTCTATTAGGCTGTGGGGCTGCTGCTGCTGCAGATCCAATCTCCTTCCCATTAACCCTTGTGCTGCCAAAGATATCATCAATCTGAAAGAAAGAAACTTCCAAATAGAATCACTGCAGCACAGAGAGATTAATCCATTCCAATTTCTACGGTAAAATATGTATTTTTTTTTTTTTTTGTTGTTGTTGTTTTTTTTTTTTTTTTTTAAATCACACAGCACTGTAAATATACCCATGCTGTCATACAATCGACCTCTCACCTGGTTGCCACTGCTGGGTGGGTTTGTGGTGTTCTCTGATTGGCTCCCTGGGTTTGAGATGTTTATACTCCTGTTAGAAGACACACAACGAACAAAAATCAGAAAGTGAAAAGGAATTTGAATAGAGCCATTTACAAGCCTTGTTAGTTCCAT